AGCACGGACAAGTACGCCAAAATACAAAATAAAAGAGAAAATATAAAATCACACAAAATGCGATAAAATGGACCGGTCAACACAAAAACGAACCTAGAACCGACTCAATAACACAAATAAACACATAAAAATAATCACAAAAACATAACAAACAGGCGCGGTGCGGGCGTTCTCGCAGGTCGCGAACAGAGGTTCGCATCGAGCGTTCGGCTGCTCCGGTTGACTCGTGTGTTCGCTCAAATGGCCCAGTTGGTCCGGAAATGGTCCGGGTGGCTCGGATAAGATTCGAACATGGCTCGGAAATGTCTCGGAAAGGGCTCGTCATCCCGACTCGAACAATGTAGACCTAATCAACACCAAAATACGCAAGAAAATACGGCAAAATACAAAAACTCATAACGAGAATGAAAACACATAAAATACGATAATGTAGACCGGTCGACACTAAAACAAACCTAAAAACGACTCGACTAAAGCACATAAAACACAATAAAACACCACAAAAATATAAGAAATATAACGTTTTTTTAGAGGGAATTCAACACATTTATTAATTACTTTGTTAGAAATCCTCCTTATATATAATTCCCGAATGCGCTGAGCCTACGTGGCTGTTTCTGGTGTTTCGGAATCCTACATGGCGAATAATCATGCTTCGTAATTATGTTTTGACAAATAATATTGATATATTAATAATTAATAATCTAGGTTTTGACATTCCATAAATATTATTTAGCTAACTTAGATATTTTAATATCACTTGTACTAATATAATCCTCTAATTCCTTGTAATTTTAATAGTGAGACACTAAGTGACTAATATATCCCTGACTTTTGATTTGTTTCCTTCAATTAGCTATTGAATTGTAAATCTATTTTAAAAAATGATAACTTTTGTATTTTTTATCGGTTTTACATATATAATATATCAAATTAATCATCTTTTGATGATCTTCGATTTGACATCCATATTGTATATATTGAAATAAATAAATTATACTTATATTTATAATAATAAAAAATAATTATATTTATTAAATCATTAGAAACATAAAATTATTTTTCAATTGATATATTTATGTTTAATGTTGTTATATGTTGTAAGTTAAAAAAAATTATTATAATATAGCACAGGTAAGTCGCACAAATAAAAAATGGCATATTAAATATATAATAATATATATTTTTATAAAAGATATTTAGAGCTTGTTTGGAAACACTTCTTAAATGGACTTTTAGATGTAAAATTCTATAGAAGTAATGAATGCGGACTTTTGGAGAATTCTATTTTGTATAAGTCCATTACGAAATGGACTTTCCTAGAAGTGCTTCCAAACAAGCACTGAAATTTTTAACTATTTTTTACTCATTAATTTTAAATTTTAAGAAAAAAAAAAATAGCAAACACCCGTGTAATACACGGGAGTTGCACTAGTTATATATATATATATATAATTAAATAAAATATAACTAACAACTAATCATAACACATTTTTCTAACTTAACTAAATCAAGCATTTTTAGGGGGAAAATGAAAACCTAAGCTATGAACAAAAATGTAGTTGCTAAAGTTAAATAAGGTCAATATTAGCATTATTATCTTTTTCTGGCTTTTTGGCTACTAACATATAGCATACATAGATATTGTCACAAAAAAATGAAGGTAGTAGAGTAAAACTAATAAATTCCCATCAAAAGCAGAGAATATATAAAATAGACTGGAATTGAAGGATCTCAGCTATCCCACACACTTTGGAAATCAAAAAACACCAAGTAACAAGTCTCTTTCTGTCTTTCATTGGGTCAGAAGTTATAGGACAGATAAAAACAGAATCCAAATTATAATAAATTTT